TATGACTTCTGAATTCATTCAGAAGTAATTCGTCGAGATCGTGCACTCTTTTCTTATTTATCTAAAGGACAGTGCTAAATTCCACACGTACTGAAATTAAGCAACAGATCCGCACGATTCCTCCCTAGCTTGCATGCATGCATTAGCTTCATCTTATTTTCTTTCTTTTTTCTGTGCATGTCCACTATCCATTAGCAGTTAATTAGCAACTACTAATCATATACATGCAGGAAAAACGAAATTGATGATGTCATCAAAGATTTTTTTCCAATGCAAAAATTTAAAATATTTTGTAGCTCAAACCGTTGGTCTGATTAAAAAATTGTTTTCCCATAAAAGATTCGTCTCGACGAGACCTTCGAAACTAGATCCCATGTTGGTATATTTCGATGATATTTTTTTCGGGTCAAAAGTTATCACGCGTGTGCTACACAAGTTATCATGCGGCTGTATATAAGTTATCATGTTATTTATACGATAGTTCTTGTATTTTTCTCTTCACATGCACATGGATGCATGCATTAGAAGGGGGAAAATGGATGCATCCTTGATTCTACATATTTCAAAACTTTAAAAATGTGATATAGATCAAAGCGTCGGTCTGATCAAAAAAATGTTTTCACATAAAAAATCAGTTGCGACGAGACTTACCAAACTAGATCCCATGTTGATATGTCCTGGCGATTTTTTTTCCGTGCAAATAGTTACCAAGCCTGGGCTAAGTAAGTTATCAGCTTAGATGTGTGTCTACTATCATGTTATTTACACATGAGTTACAGTGGTACATTTTCAACAACTATTTTTTTCAGGACAAATTTACCGCGGTGTTTGTGCGCGAGGTACCGTGTCTGTGGTTCATATATTACCATGCTATTTATGCATAAGTTATCGAGGTTATGTTTTCAAACAACTTCCTCCCCCAAGGTCAAAGTTATCATGGTGTTTGTACATGAGTTATCAAGTCTATGGTACGTATATTATCTTGACATTTGTACGGAAGTTATCGGGAGGGGTATGTTTTCAAAATACTTTCTCCCCTCCCACCACCCCGGAATCAAAGTTGCAGTGGTATTTATGCACAAGTTATCACGTATAAGGTGCGTACAGTACCAAGCTATTTACACCAAAGTTCCCAGGTGTTTTTAAACACCTTCCCACATCCCACACCCGTCACCAAAGTTACTAAGATTAGGGTACAAAAGTTGTCAGATTTGTGGTGTGTGAGTTACCGGGGGGTATATTTCATCAACCCCTCCCCCCACCCCCCA